GCAAACGTTCTTGAAAATTGACATTTCGCTGAAATTTCGCTGAGCTGTGGAATAAAGAGTCAGAGTCAGGGCAAATCTCGTCCTGAAATACGCATGCGTAAACAGCCGTGAAGGGTCAATGTCGTCGACATTTCAATTTCAATTTTGACGCTCCAGTTTGATCACTCAAATATCAATGAAAGGAGAAATTTCCAAAATGCTAAGAAGACAATCCCCTGTGGCAAGGTATTCTCTGCAAAGTGGTATCAAATCAAATGGCGAAACTTTTAATCTTTTGCACGGTATTTCGAGTAGGAAAAAACGACATTACTTACGGACGTCCCAATACTTGGATTTTCAGCGCGTGGATTCTTTCTTTGTCGCGAGTATCAAAAAAACTGTCTTCAGAAAAGATGAAAGGGCGTGACTCCTTACAATGGGTGGAGTTCCGACGGCTTCGGAGTGGTTGAACTCTGATGTACAATGAATTTATAGCCAGCCCATCCATCTTTCACATTGACATTATCCTCCACCTCTTCGTTAGAACTCTGTTCAGAAATGAACTGATGCGTGACCGGATTTGCTACGGCCAAGTGGATGCGTACGCTTTGGCTTGTGCTGACGACACTCCGCCATTGCACCTCGTACCTTTCTGCCTCGCTTTTAAGGTAATTAAATACTTGTCAAATACTCAAATTTTAAGGATAACTGATTTCCATTCGGTCTCAAAAAAAGGATAAAGCATCCGGCGCTGCCCACCGCTTTCGAGATACGCTGCGCATTGTACAGACATTATCCTTGCAAGATGGTAGAGCGTTGAAGGGGCTTGATTGAGCTAGAACAGCCTTCTACATCAATCGTTGCAGCTCCAGGATGGCACTATTGGTGGCAAGGTTGCCCCTCCTGTGTCGATCTGCAAAAACTCACGGGGCAGCCGATATCTGAATTCCCCGAATCCGAGTTGAATCTGTTCCGTTTGATGTCCAATCTGATCGCGTGGGCGGTGATGTGGGTGGAAATATTCAATCTATTTGCCCATTAGCGCCTCCCTACTCTCTGGTGTTTCAAAAGAAACGACACCAACGAAGAGAAACGAGGAGACCCTGTGAGCACATCCACAGCTATCAGGCCCATATGGGAGGATAGACACAGGCCAGCCAATTCATTTTACGAACAGAATCTCATCCCGAATCTCACCGCGATTTTGAGTAGAAATCAAATGCGTGGGCAACCAAACAAGCAGATTGGTCGATGGAGGAAAATTTATTATTTTTGACCTTTTGATACTTTGACAAAGTGATCATGGCGATGCCTTGGCAATGCTTTCAGCGACAGTGTCATTTGGTCAATTATCCGAATGATGATTGGTGTGTACGTGAATTCGATCGAATATGATGAATACTGTACACGTGCGAAGAGGAGTAAATGCAAATCGTGCACACACGATCTCAGCTGCTATTGTGAACCGTATCAATGTCTGTGGCAAAGGTGAGGGTTCCTAAGTCATAGACGCTCAATGAATTAAACCCTTACATACCTGTAGCGTAGGTATGACTCACCCAGTGTTCACATCTAGTAGGGATACCCGTCCGGACCACCTTTTGAAGTGATACAACGACAACGAGCGCCGCTGATTGACTGCACGAACAGCTTGAGCGAATCCCCACTCCTCCCATCCCGATAGACTACGCGGCGAGCTTTGTTTCCAACCAGATTGGTTAGTGGAGTGGTTGGAACGCGGTAGGGAGGGCCTGTTCCTTTCTCTCCAAGAATACTTTCTCTCCAGAGCTGATGAAAGGCAAGAGCAAGCGCACGGTCCCATATCCCAGAGCAGCAGGAGGCGTGGCTGCGAGAGAGAAGTTCAACCAAAGAGAGGCAGGTACATAGCAGATGGAAGTCGTCATGGGATACGTAACCACGCCCCTTGCAGCCCTTCGATATGGACTGTATGAGTAGTATGTTGAAGAGTTGTAGCTGCACTTTGCATGCTCTCAAGCAAACAATACAAATAAAATAATAAATCCAGTATAGGTATGGGTATGAAACTGCAGTGTGGTGTCAGAGGTATGAGCTGTTTTGTAATGAAAAAGAGCGCCGAGATAAGGCGAACGAGCTCATTGCCCGATGGATGGTGCTGTCAAAGTTCACTACAGGTGAGTTTCCGAACCAAATGCTTTTAGTATTTACTGAACTAACTATTATCGAGAAGACACTAATCATTTAAATAAACATTTGCTGGCAAAAAACGGCGGAATATCAGTAAAACTGTGGTTGAGGTAAAGCTAGGGCTAGGTGAACTAGGCTGGGGTTGATATGGTCCCAATCACTATGGGTGATATCAAGAGGGAGAGTTGGGACTGGCTTCTTACCAATGGTGATCATTTAGTGATCGACTCGAGAAGAGAATGACCAGAGGTAGAGAACTCCACAAATGGGCTCATTCCATGAGAGGGGGAAGGGCCCGGCGACGGGGGGGGGACATTTTGCACGTTTGCTACTCCCCATCGACGCATCGACCCATCTAAAAAGCCGTTTCTCAAGTGGCAGGTTTCAGCGTTTCTAGACGAGCTTGTTCTAGCTTACCCTGTTCACTGGTTCACCAAAGTGAGAACTGTAATCCGGAGCTACTGAAGCAGCTGGTGTGCAAAATGCTAAGCCCTTCCCCCCCCCGAACTGCGCCCATTCTATGCCTCTTGATACCTCCCTGACTGCTGCCACTCAACTGCACAAGTTTGTTTCTGCCAGCAAAGCCATTGCTTCGAACAACGTGAATCAATCCCACGCTGGTAGCAGGAGCGGAGCTACTTCAATGATGCCAAAAGAGGAAAGGGACGAAAGCAGAGGTGACATTATAATAGACCGCCTCCACCCATAAGCGTGAACTAAGCCGCTGTATGGAGAAAGTGCTCTTTCAAATGTTTCTGCGGTTCTGAACAGAAATTCGGTGCCGGGCTCACAACAATAAAACTAAGCTTATTCGGCTCTTATTCAATTTCTTTTGCTGTAAGATCAGACCTTGTTCATTCCAGATGCATGCACTTGTTTAATCTTCCCAAAGTAATATGTGATCCCCTCCGGCGACAATTCGACTACAATCGTTGCATTAAGGTGAGTTTGTGATGTTTCTTCTAATGTAAACATCTCCCTTTTCCACTAAAATCTCCTCCCTGTTCTTTGGAAGGTCCCTTCTTTGTCCTGCCTTTGACCACATTTTCGCCGAGCCGCTCCGCCCTATGTTTAGTAATGACCCCAGTAAAAGATAGGGCGGGGGCGTGAACTGGATCACAGCCAGAACAGCCTTTCAGCCGACTGTTGCGAACCCAGGTTGGCACCATTGATGAAAAGGCCGCCTTGGTCGCTCCAATCCGCGCTCCTTCTCCCACCCGCTGTGTAGATTTGGAAATATGCATACTGCATTCTTTACCTGTCTAGAATTGTTTCCATGCAACTGTATGGCGATTGAACTCGATTAGGCTTGGTTCGCAAAGCCAGCCAAAGAGCAGTCAATGTTTCTGCACCATCCCCCTTACTTCACTGACTGACCGAAAACCAGGGGGGAGAAGGAAAGGTTTGGTCAGTCTTCGGGGGGCTACACCACTACACAAGTGAGAATGGCAAGGGGAACGCCTCGCTATGTGTGCGGTTTTGAACTCAAATCCTGGCTCAACCCCCGCCTAGGTCAAGTTTTCTATCATCGGGGGATCGGGGGACGGTAAATTGCTGCTGGGAGAACAAGAACACTGACCTGTACAGCGGCTGGCCCCCAAGTGCCACATCTCATCCAATAAACCACTACGATTGTGATAGTGAGAAGAAGAAGAATGCGTGTCGCATCCCAAAAAGGGTCAATAAACGACCTTTGAACACTATCCTGGAAAGCCGCTGTTGTGCCGGTTATTCAAAATCTTTATTCTCTGACGTGGCCTTACACACGTAATGAATAAAGAATAAAAGGCAGCAATTTCAGTTTTTGTTGTCGACTGCGAGCTGATTTCGGAATGGGACAGCGAAAAGGATGGTGGTCGGGAGGATACCGACAAAGCTGAAGAGGAAAACGGCAAGTCCAACTTGATTTCTCACTTTTCTCGAGTTCCCGAGTATGCAGAACCTAAGGTTGGGGGGGAGGGTAGGAGAGCAAGGTTGCTATTATCTGTTGTGGGAACACGCCTTACTCTTAGATATGCAGGGTATTTCATTCCTTCAGCTTTGATGGGTACGAGATTCGCCTTGGAGAAACCAAAAACATCTACTGTATATGACCCCATCTCGGAGTTCATAGGAGACAAAGCTCTGTTGAAAATGTCCCACATCATCGTTGGTCTATAATGGCCATTTATCCACCCTTTTAGGGGTGTGAGGATAATGGGGCGGTTTCCTCATGATATACCATCTTTGCCTACCCTTCTCTTTTTTGATGGTTGTCCGGAAAGCTTACGAGAAACCGCTTGTAGAGGCTCCTACGAGAAACCGCTTGTAGAGGCTCCGAAGAAGACACTTGCGCCAACACCAGACGACCAGAAATTGGCCGCGAAAATTGCCGAAGGAAGAAATGGCTCTGGAACGGCTTATTGAAAGAGAAGGAAAAGGAGGACAAGGAGAAGGTTTGCTAGTTTATTTCAAAAAAAACTTTTTTTGGAAAAGAATACTCCAGGTCAGGTGGTGAGGTGCCAAGGAACGCTCCGGTGAAGGTTGAAACTTCAGCTATGTGGTGTGGCCCCAGCTCCCACAACCCAGCCGATTCGGTGCGAGAAGAAGTTTCGCAGAAGAGGGACGAAGGGAAATGGTGGGAAGCCGGAGAAAAGGCTGTAGGAAGACAAGAGGGATAAACGAGTGGAGACCAACTATCGACTCTTCATCGACGCCTGCGCATCGGGCCCGGGAACAAACAAGACGCTATTCAGCAATACTTGGGAAGGTTGCTAATGGATAGCAATCTATCTGGAAAGCGCGATAATTAACGAAAACTAGATATAAATAAATTGCTAGCTGACCCTCGTGTTATTGGATTTCACAGAAGTGAAGGCGGTTATATCACACTTGACAATTACTGGTGAAGCTAGGAAATGTGAGGCCGACCGGGCGGTACACCCAATTTCCTGCTGGGCGGGCACATCAACAAAGAAGAAGAATTAACCGGGCCGCCAAATTCACTACCCTCTACCTATTGGCATGCACAATCCGACGGCACGCTTTATCTAGCGATCACAACCACCCCCATCATGAGCAATTAGGGTTGAAAGGCACAGTATCGTGGGCAAATGAGATTGCGTGGAGGCGGACGGCAGTGCTGCCCAACGCGTCCATTTAGGTGGAAGGCACAGATCGACCTTCAGGGGTAGCGAGTGGATTGAATTTGATCATTACCTGCCTCCCCACGCTCGATCCGGTCCACCCACGGACAGTGACCAGGAAACACCATCCGACCCTCATCGCATCGTTGCCCATGCCCTCACTATTAAGGTGGAGAAGCCTTGAGACTAACCTTGCACGATGTCGCCGTCAGAATTTGTAAGCCAGTCGATCAGCCGCTTGCAGAAAACGCAAATTAGGATCTATGATGACTTCACGGCCCTACTTATAACAATCGCCTCCGGACCTCACCGGATGATGTCCGTCGCCTCATATCGGCTTCTGTGGCGCTCTCCTCCTTACCCATCTTTGTCTGGTTTTTTAGGTGCGATATGATTTTTGTTAATTTTTCTCTATCACGGGGCATATTTATTTGACATCATTCAAAAACAATCTTCCCCTACTATCGAGCCACAATAGGAAACCGGAAAGCATACTCGGTCGCGTGGCAAACAAACTTCTGTGAACGGAACAACGATGGCTGACCGGGTACACCCAATTGGAGTAACGACAACCACAACTACCGGCTAAACAGGCATCCGTAAGTCCCATCAACCATGGGCAAAGAAATCACTCCCAGGAATCCCATCTCTTTCCGACTAGCTTAACAAAATGTGGTGAATATCGACGAGAAAGAAATTAACCGAAATCATCAGGTTACCACGGATCCGTCACTAACATCATTCTTTATCAACTATATAAAAAATAATAAACATTTCAACTCCAGGGATTAGTTTCTTAAAGTTAGATTAGCGCACCAGTCTGTCAAACTGCAAGGCGGCATGCGGGGTGTAAAATTTCCCAACAAACAAGCAGGTGTCTTTCTCCCTTCCACAATGAGATCCTCAGTTATGCCCCCTCAAGCCTTGGGCCGGATCAATCTTTTGCGAACGAGTTCAAATAGCGCACGCTCGAAAAAATACACACAAACCTCATAGAAATCAATAGCACGTGCGACCAAACCCTGACGCAAGATGCTCAATCAAGTTCTCTCTGGTCTCCTGAATTCGCTTAGTTTCTTCCTTTTACATTTTATTATTATCATT